TTAAATAGCGTGGGCCAGTAAAATCCAGATTGATGTACTTTGTCTGCAGTTTTCACTGCACCAAAGTGTCCACCATATGGAGAAGATTGACATCTATCAAGAATGTTCTCCATTTCATTTTCAGGTACACATCGCCGATGAGCAACGCCTAGGCACCATGTTTCAGTCATGCATGGCGGCGAGGTGCCCCGACAATGACTGAGAAGTGTTTTTTTATCTTTTACAATTCAGGGACCGTGTTGCAATTATGGGGGACGATTTTTGGGCCTCTTAAATGCATTTTTCTATCATTTTAAATGGATTCAAATTCTCATCCCTTTAAACACAAAAACCCTATGCTTGGGAGAATAAAGAAGAGTGGGAGAGAATGAGGAAATACAAAGCAAGATTTGGGATTTCAAATGGAAATTTAAGATTTCAACCTTCATTTCTTCGAGAATACATTCAAGGGATGTGTTTATTCTATTATCTTGTATCTCTTCATTATCTCTCTGATTTTGTAATGAATTTCATCTCTATTTCCTTGTTCTATTTTTATAGTGTGATGGGCTAACTATTTAAAGTTGGGATTTATGATTTAGCTTGACCTAAGTTTCATTAATATCTATATATTTACCATTTAATGCTAAAGTTGCCATAGATATTGTGCATTTGTTATTGTGTTTACATTTCCATCATTCATTTGGCCAATAGATGATTGTGTTAGGTGGTTTGTGCAATTATCGAGAGATTGTTGTGCTTGCTAGACCACGATAATTAACGTCTTAGGTTGTTCTTAATCTTAGGTGGCCTATTGAGTTATTTTCACTACGATTTAACGTGACTGGTTGTGTTTTTATCAACAAAGAGATATAGTAGGTAAAACTAATCAGCTAGAATTATTTTCGTTCAAGAGAGGTGACTAACTAAAATTGAAAAATCGGGTCCAACATTGTAACTGGGTGATTTACATTTTCGGTTTATTAAGGTATTAATGAAATGATGGTCAAGTGATATCGTAAATCCCAACTCATTTAAAATCCAAAATCTTATTACTTTCACAATTATTAGTTTAATTAAAATCTAAAATGATTTTCTTTTCATTTCTAACTTCAAAAAATTAAATTGTGTATATCTTTATCATTAATTTGAATCAGTTATTGTATGATTGGAAGAAATACTATTCGAGGGATCGATTTGGACTCAACATCCACTTTATTACTTGTATGCATCCGTACACTTGCGGTATATAATTTTAGCTAGCACTAATCCAAAGATTCTCTGAGTAAGAAACATCTAACCTCTAGTAGAATCTTTGCTTGAATTGAAAAAAAATTAGTAGAATGCAAGAGAATATATACCTAGATTATCTAGAAATTTTGATGAAGCCAACATTTTGAACTATAGATGGTGCTGCATTAGACAATATTGGACAAATGTATGCATATCTTAGATGTTTATAACTATTTTAAAAAATGATTTTGTTAAGTTAAATGGGACTCAATATGATAATTAAAAATTACTTAATAAGTGGATATCTTGAAAAATAGGTCCAACTTACATTTTGAACAAGTTTTGAGGAATTTTTAATAGTCATGAAATAAAATTACTCATTAAATTTACTGCATTCATCTTAAATTTCTATTTCTTATCAAGGCATAAACAATTTTTTTTCAAAAAAAAAATCAAAATGTTGGTGGTCACTTGCTCACCATGCACCACCCCCCTCTGTCCCTGCCCCTGGGTCAAGCCCAAACAAGCCGACGGGCTAGTCGATGAGCCGTTTGGCCCAATTGCCATCCCTAACCGTGATTCTGTCACGTGCAATGTACATAAAAAAACAGCCACAGAAAAACTTGCACATTAAATGATAATTGAATGTGTTAAACATCGATCTGAAGGTTTTCCATTTTGAATCATGCTACATGTACACTACTTTTTACATTGTATCACGTGACAACACGCTATTGGACATTAACAAATAAAAAATAAACAATTTTTTCACCAATCAAATCATGCCAACTCGAATGATGTCAAAAGTGATGAATATTTTTAATGTACAAATGGCTTTAACCCTTCCATTTCACTCCAACTTACATTTTGAACAAGTTTTGAGGAATTTTTAATAGTCATGAAATAAAATTACTCATTAAATTTACTGCATTCATCTTAAATTTCTATTTCTTATCAAGGCATAAACAATTTTTTTTCAAAAAAAAAAAATCAAAATGTTGGTGGTCACTTGCTCACCATGCACCACCCCCCTCTGTCCCTGCCCCTGGGTCGAGCCCAAACAAGCCGACGGGCTAGTCGATGAGCCGTTTGGCCCAATTGCCATCCCTAACCGTGATTCTGTCACGTGCAATGTACATAAAAAAACAGCCACACATTAAATGATAATTGAATGTGTTAAACATCGATTTGAAGGTTTTCCATTTTGAATCATGCTACATGTACACTACTTTTTACATTGTATCAAGTGACAACACGCTATTGGACATTAACAAATAAAAAATAAACAATTTTTTCATCAATCAAATCATGCCAACTCGAATGATGTCAAAAGTGATGAATATTTTTAATGTACAATGGCTTTAACCCTTCCATTTCACCCTTGACTATTTGAACCAGCTTGAGCCACCAACCCAACATTTTTCATACTACGAAGAAGTTAATGAATGAGCTACTAAACTGTTTAATAATCAACCAGACAATTAAAATGCAAAATAAAACATAGGAAATAAGCATAAGCAAAAGAATTTCTATTTTTTGTTTTATTTATTTTTCTCTTGCCAAAGAACCGTTTAAAAATTATACTCGATTTTCACATATTGATGGACCCACAAAATTGAAAAGTCGAGAAAGATACTACAGACAAAATTGTAAAGGGATTCAATTACAATAAAGTAAATAGATTAGGGATTAAAAGTTAATTTCCCCTGTCGAATAAAACACAAGTATAAAAGGGCCCAAATTGAGGTCCACCGAGCGGGAGCGAGAAAGAGGAAACGGCAGAGACTTTCCCCCTCGAAAATTTCGCTCGTACATAAGCACTCTTCATTTTCCAAATTCTGTAAAATTTCTGAATAATCAATAGTTTTTGTATTTGATCTTAGAAAATTATTCGACTTTCCGTCGCTACCCACCGAAATTCCAAATCAGTCCTCCGCCGGACTGCTAACAGCGGCGTGGCGTACTTAATTTTTGTGATTTGGGAAGGGTAAAATGGGGAATCAGAAAGTGAAGTGGACATCGGAGGAAGAGGAAGCCCTAAAAGCAGGAGTGGTGAAGCACGGAACCGGCAAGTGGAAGAACATCCTCATAGATCCTCAGTTCGCGCCCTACCTCACTAATCGTTCTAACATCGACCTCAAGGTTTCCCTTTTTTACAACTCATGCCATCCACACAAGTTCTCTATTCTATTTCACTGTCTGTTGATCTTCAAAATTTTCGTGTCAGTCTCTCCATCTGGATGTTTTAATTAAAGCGTCGCTATTACTCGATCACATGTGTATATAATTCTGTACGTTCTTGTTTTTGAATGGAGAGGCATATTTCTGCTTAATTTGAAATGTGCTTAGAATGTTTTATGATAAAATAGCCTATAAACTGCATGTTTGGTTAATCTTGATAAAATTAATTATAAGTAAGTAGTAAGATTTAAAATAAGCTTAAAAAAATGTACTCTATCTGTGGTCAAAATAAGTTACTTTTATACTTGTATGATGAAAAGTACTTATTTAAACATATTCGAAAACAAAAATTCATTCACAAGTGAGTTTGACTCAATTTTAAGCTCTGCCAATCATACACCAAGTAAAATATCTCGTTGCAAATCCAATTCTTTTACTTTAGACTTTTGTTCTACCATAGTCTAACAATAGTGATCTTGGAACTGTCGAGAGAACCCCTGCAAAGTAAAGATATCTAAGCTATAGGCTCTCGTATCCTCATGGCAAAAGTAAATCGACGGGATTACTTCTGGTCAGAAAATTATCAAGGCTGACTCTTCTTTCGAAGGATGAAGGTTCAAACATATTACAAGAAAACCGATGCTTAAGACAGGGTAGTCACATGTATAAGTAAATGGAATTGTTAGAGCAGATGTTCCTTTAGAAGGACAAAATCACAGTATATTGTTGCACAAGTAGGCGTAGCTGTAGAGTTCAAATGAAGATTTATTATGACTCTCGAACTATTTATAAATAAAGAAAGGATACCTTCATCTTGATTAAAATATCCAACTGAGGCAGATAAATATGTAAAATGTGTAAAAGAAAAAGAAAATTGATGCAGGCTATCATATCTTTTATTTTATTATATTTTTGTGTTAAGTAGTAGATATGTCTCCCTGAATTTACTTGGCCTTTTGCTGATGTATTTATGTTTTACACTTTTGTTGCTCGTTGTATTTATTCGTCTTTGTTTTGGTTCATTTACACAGGACAAATGGCGGAACATGAGTATTAGCTATGGACAGTGCTCTAGAGAAAAATCTAAGGCTTCTAGAGTAAAAACAATTTCATCTGAAGCTCTCTCCACTCCCACCACTGAAAACTTAGTTGCCGAGGCTGATGCTGTTGATGAGTTTTCCAGAAGCCCAAGGGACGTTAGAAGTGCTCTAGGGTATTGTTTTGTCATTTTCCTTGTTATAATGATTTCTAACAATATTTTTGTCAAAAGGAAGTAACAATATAGAAAAAGGTTGGTAGGAATTAGGTTTTTTAAAGGCGTCTGATTCACTGTATGTTGGTCCTGTGTTTCTTTATTCTGGGAATAAATTGAATTTCCTTTGCTTTTATATATACAATTACTAGTTTCTGTCTATATGTATGTTCTCATAATGTATTAAAAGTTGTGTTGACCTACCTTTGGTTTTACTAAGAAATTGTTGCATAGGCATATATTTCTTTCTCACTGGATGTGTGATGCTTTTTAGGTACAACGCCATGATATTTGAAGCACTTTTATCTGTCAAAGACTCCAATGGATCCAATATTGGTGCTATTGTGGAATTTATTGAGGTCAGATGGATGTTCTACTGTTCTCTTTTTATTTCTGCTTTGTCTAGGAGGATTTGTATGAAGTGATGTAAAAGTAGTTTCTGAGATTACAACTTAAAGTATCATTTTGTTTTGACAGTTTAATCAGTTTATCATAATTTATCAACTTGAAAGTGAGCCTTAAAGTTCAAACTTTTTGAGGAAGAGTTTATAAAGTAAGTTTATGAACGGTTTGTGAACAGTTCAAGGCAGCATTGTCATCATATTACTGAAAGAGTCTGCTGTATAAAAAAAAATTGGTGTCTTATAGATGGACTCTAGGTAGGGGGATTCTTGAATCATAAAATCAGCATAATCTAAAAGTTAATTTATTTCGAGATTCTTGATTTCTCTTACAGAGTTATGGTTTTTTGTTTATATCCCAGGCTAGTCTATTTTGCCTCCTATTGCAGCTACTATGAATTCATCAAAAAAAAATTTCTAGACATGTTTCCTTGAACTTCTTGCGTTACATTTTATACTAAAGAAGTCAGCTCCCTTTCACTAATTTTTTTTACTATTTTTTTTTCTTGTTAATTTCTTCACTGAATTGAATTTAATGATGGAAAGATTAAGTCCTATATGAAAGAAACTCTGTTGCACCTTGTTCGGCATGTTTTGTGTCAACCAGAAATGCGACACGGACATACCAAAAAGAAAAAGGGAATCCATCTATTCGAAATTCACTATACCATTTCAAAGGAATTGCTTCTGCAGTTTGTGAACTTAAAAGTGCCTCAGCAAGAAAAAGTTTGATTATATGTGTTTTACTTCAACTGAAATTTGAAAAGAATGTGGAATTTAATAGTAATCCATCCATTTATTTGTGCAATTTCTCACATCTCGGTTAAACTATTTGTCAAATGCGAATAGCTTTTGGTAACTTTTTGCGTTTTGTGTAAAAGAGAAGTTTCTGTAAGAAATGCCAGTTTAATTTATCACCTGCCACACGAGGTCAGCGATTGGGTTACGAGTGTCAAAGGGTGAAGTTAAAAAAAATTTCACCTGCTACTTCAAATTTCCATGCAAGCAGAGAAGGGCTGCCAGAAGTTGGCCTAGTTAATACTTTGTTTTTTTGAACTGTAATTGAATTTGAGTTCATCATTTAATGTGAATCTCTTATGTCTAACAGCAAAAGCATGAAGTGCCACAAAATTTCAGACGATTATTGAGTTCAAAGCTGAGGAGACTTGTCTTGCAAGGCAAACTTGAGAAGGTATATGATTTTTTCAATCCTTAAGCGGCGTCTCGAATGATAATATTCTTTCCTGCACTACAATGTTTACTGATTTGATGGTGCATGAACCTGTTGCCTGTTGGAGATATGGGCTACTCTTGAATATTCATCATGATATTTACCAAAGTATCATTCTCTGCATTTGTAATGGCTTTTGAATATTTTCACTGATATAAAATGCTGCAATCTCTTTGTTTTCTCTATTTGCCAAAAGATTGGTCATAGCATACTATTGAAATAACTAATTTCAATGAAGTTGGTTATCTTTTGGTGTGGCCTACAAGATTTAGTTTGACAACAATCTGAACTTGAAACATTACTTGTGGTTTCTTACTTTTGTTTCAAATTACTATTTCGGAGCTGAGGATCATTATATTTTTGTTTGTACGACATGTATCTAGTCGGGCTTGCTGCACTTAATGTTTACGCATGCATCGGTTGTGCTGCTTTTGTAATGAAAATGATAACGTTCAGTTTATCTATAAATTATATGATGCTTGTGTATATGAAGGGCTAGGTGGTCCTCAATTTATTGCACACGTCTGTGTTTGGACATGTGCATTGCTTTTCAAGTTGTTTGTTCACTTCACCACGGAGACTGTCAAAATTTTGTTACCCTTTTGGTAATCATTCTTTCAAAACTCTTTTTCTCTCATGCTCATTTTCAACAACACAGTCTCACAATAAAATATTCCTCTCGTAAACTCAAAACTTTTCTTACTTTTTAACCACACATTCTCCAAAAAATTAATATTCAAAAACTCAATTCTTTACAAAAATAGCTGTCAAACGGGCTAAATCATTCCTAGTGAGAAACAGGTCACAGTTAGCCTTGATGATGGGTTTGGCACCTAGTTTGTATTCATCATCGGTGCACGTTACGTTTGTGGACCGATTTTATAAGCTTGGGCCATCTTATCGTGCGTCATTTTGACGACTCAGCTGAAACCCATCTATGCATTGTATCAAGTATCAACTAAGCGAACGAGGTGCAGAGAAAGCCAACATTACAAGTCTGTTGATGCGTGTCCTTTATTTATTATCCTGGGGGAGGGGATTGGTTACATAACTTACATTGATTTCATTCTGGCGGACCCCTCCTCCCGTCCTCGTTGTTTCTGCATCAGTAGGGGACATAATATATGGTACCTTTGGTTATCTGTCATTCATATATGCTATCACCTGCAGGTCCACAACTGCTACAAGATCAAAGATGCTGCTTTGGGGACGAAAACACCTATACCTAAACAAAAAGATATTAGACCAAGGCCAGTACAGAATTCAGGATTAGTCATTTCCGCTGAAACAGTGGAAGATGCTGCTATGACTGCTGCCTACAAGATTGCCGAGGCAGACAACAAATCATTTGTGGCAGCAGAAGCAGTTAAAGAGGCTGACAGGGTCTCGACAATGGCCGAAGATGCAGATTCAGTACTGTTGCTTGCCAAAGAGATTTTTGAGCAATGTGAGTACTGCTATTGCTTTTCTTACCTAATCACGATTATCACTCTTATTTATAAAAAATTGAGTTACTTGGAGCATGTTTGGCTAAAGTTAAAAAGTCTCTTATGAGTAAATAATTCAAAATAAGTAACCGTTTCTTTCTCATTTGTTGCATTTTCAGGTTCAAGAGGTGAAACCGTTCGCTTAGCATATAATCGAACATGCTAAATTACTAGTGTATATAAATCCAGTTTTATAATGGAGACATTCTTCGGTATTATAGCTGCGTGTGGGAACTATTTGCGCTAGTTAGAAGGCAACAGGCTTGAGCTCTTTTGTAGACTTGGGGCCGGTTTCTTATTTTGCTAGGATTTTAAGAACCGTTGCTCATTACAGATGTGCATTCTACCCTTCTGTGATTAACTTGTAGCTTTGAAATATTAGTTGTTTACTGAAAATACTTGTGAAAAGTTACTTTTATTTTTCTCGTTTATTTTCTTTTGTATTTATTTTTTAATTTTAGTTAGTATTTAGTAGATACTATTAAAAGTTTCACTGCTAAGAGCTCTACCCCCGACAGATGCACCAAACAGACCTAAATCCTAATCGTCTTTCCCAAGCAAAAACTTGATCAAGTGCACATCGCACAACATTTTAACTTGCTTTTTCCATACAACAATTACAATCCTTGTCTTTGGGGATTCAAGTGCCAAGAGAATTAAAAGTTGAAGAGTCGAATGCTATGAAAGATCTGAAGTAACTAGATATTTTATATTTGCAACAAACCGTGTTAGTTTGTACCAGTCTTTCCTCTATTAACTTGTTCTATTGATCATGGAACTCTAATGATTTTTAGCATTCAGACTGCAAACTTTAAAGCTTTTCCTAATCCTCTTTCTATACGACACTACTACATGATTCCAAATATAATTCATGAGAGGTTAAAAAACTACAGCAATTGGGATCCTCGGATTTCATTCCAACCAGAACTCACAATTCGTGAATCTCGACATTAACAAGGCCAGCGCATTTTATATAAGAAATTCTGTAGCTGTAAACTGGGAGCAATCAAGCAATAGAAATTTCAAGAATGGCCAACGAGTATATATCAAGGAATACCAACACTCAACAAAAGCACGTTGGAGCCACCAACCCTTTTTTTGCCTACTACGAACAATCACGATTCAACATTGACAATTTGCTCATGAAACTCAAAACAATCAAAGTTCAGTCACAAAATTCATCTCATTTGCATGAGATTTAATTCTCAATTCTAATCATAGATGCAAAGAAAGTATAATTAACAGCATGGTTGTTTCAGACATGAAACGAGAAAAATTCTTACAGTTACCAAAAATGCTTATTCTCAAGCACAGCAGAATCATTTCCCGAGCTCAAACTATAAGAGTACAAGCCCAAGTTCTGATGACCTTAAAACGTGTTTTAGTCGATAGTTATAAAGATAGTAGTGGAGTTTCCCATCCCCAGGGCCAAACTTCAGCTCCTTCAAGAAAGTCTCGTTATGCATAACGTCCAAAGCATTGAAAACGTCAAAATCCTTCTTCTTGGCAACAATAAGTGCATCATTCATCAGCTGAAGTAATGGAGTCTTTGTGGACACGTTATAATAAGAATACGCAGCCTTTAAAGTGGAGTGGTTATGACTGCCAAGTATAGAAGATGGGAGGGTGTAAAAACTGCAGAAGTCGGTTATCTCGTGAGTTTCAGGACTTTCGACCAAGTAACTATCCACAACATTTTCCTGGGGTAGTAGCCAATGCTCCACATCATTCTCGTCAAAGTCCGGTGCAACAATAAACTGCTTCAAGTAATTCCTCAGCAAACGAGTAACAGCAGGAATGTCATGGGGTTCCATCTTTCTGAACCCAGGAGTTGCTGTTTGATCGGGTAACTTATATAGCTTTATTGTTCGGCTCATTGTCATCCTCGCACCAAGCCTAGAAAATCCGACATCGATAAGCTTTTTCGGATTTAAAGATCTATGCCAATATTGACAAGTCGTAATGGGTGTCGGAAGGACAACACCTGCAGTATAAGCGGCCTGCCAGATATTCTCTAAATGAACCCTCCTGGTGACCTCTTTAATCATGACTGGAGCGAGTCTTTTTGATCGAAGTTTCTTGTGGACGCACAAAAAATTAATCTCGGCCATGTCAACAACATCATCTCGAACACGGATTCTTGCAGGGATCCCAGTGATGAATGCAACCAATTTTTTCGAAGTCTTCACTCTCACTCCAATGTGCCAACTCTTAAAATAACCCGGAGGGCGAAGTGCCCACTGAAGAAACTCCTTTGAATAGTTGAACCTGAACATGTTCTCATCATCCTCGACGTAGTTATTTGTCAGGAGATTATACACCTCTATACACATCTCTTCAGATTCCATATCACAAGTTATCCACTCATAAGGAGCAGGTAGATTGTAAGGCACTTGTTTGACTTCAGTCAGGGGAGTTGGAGGCTCAATTGGGCCTTCAGGCAGGCTCGTATCCCCAAGATCCTTGTACTGGCCTACAGGTTGGGTTTCCCAGAACTTGTGCCTCTTAGCAAGCGATAGAGATTCTTGAACCTTCCTTGCCAGGGAATCAATTGAGACTTCATTCTCATTCTCGGAAGGTTCATTACCATCGGCCGCATAATTAGGGTTTTCAATTGGTGCACTTTTATCGGCCATTTCCACAATCAACTAGATTTGATAATTCCAAGGACGAACCACAAATTATTGAACAGCACACAAAATAGATGCAGCTGCATACACAAAGATACAAGAGTAACACAAATTTACAAAAATTTCTCCATTTACCACAAATATATGTGCTTGGTTGGGAAAGATTGAAAGCTTTTAAAAAAGTTGAGGCCAAAGTCACCAATTAATTTTAAACAACGCATTCATAGGACACAACTTTTATCAACTTTTCAATCATATTTCATCAACTTTTATCCTAAAACTTTTATCAAACACATTGTCAAACAACCCCTGAGATCAAATCATTAGAAGCTTCACGATGTCTGTGATATTCACGTGTGTCAATGTGTCATCACAATATATATCAAAACCACTGTAATCATACGATGAATTTATCCAGAAGGAAGTCTTTGAATCACAAACACTTATAACACACATTCATCAAACATGGATATGCTAGCTAAAATTCTTGCTTCAATTATACACGAAGGGCATGTTTGTTACTACGACAACAATAAGACAATTGAAAAGTAACTAACAAGATTTTAATTTTTTTTTCTCCGTTAATACTATCCAGTGTAAAAATCCCGGATCAATAGAAAGGGAGAAATTCCAAACTTCCATTCCCTGTGAACATAGTTTCGCATGTAAATACCCAATGCAAATGTGGATTGATCTTAATCGATGTAAAACAACAAACTAGGAAAGTCAAGTACAACCCTAAATATTTAACTAATTGTAATCTTAAAATTATTCGATCCCACCCACAGTTATTTTCAGCTGAATCACACAAGAACCCAAAAAAAAAAAAAAAATCAACCCAAGAACACAAGACTTTTTTGTTCTTGTTTACAAATCGATGGTTTTAATAAAAAAAAAAAAAAAAAACCGTTACTCGGCGATTAATTTTAATTGAGTTTCATGTAAACATACAGAAAGAGAATTATAATTTGTGGGTTAATTATCAAACTACAATAAAGCCAAAAATCAAGATCTAAACCAATAAAAGTGACAAAAAATAAACAGATTTTTCACTAAATTTGAAAAGTTGACTCCACAGTGTACCTTAAATGCGATCTCTGATTTTGCTGGAAGAATTATGACCTGGAGATCTATTAGACAATAGATTATTTTGGAAATAGAAGAGAGAGAATTTACTGATTCGTCAATTAGAGATAGAAAATGTGAACATTGGAAATAACGAAAGTATAGGAATGGATGGAATCGATAATGGACAAGGAAGGAATATTGAACTTTAGAATCGGTAGCCCTAATGCAATAGTACATTATAATGGGCACTTTTGTCATTTCAGAAGATATAGCTGTAAAATCTCTTTGAAGTTATTTTTTAGGATCCATTTGATTGCATGGGTGGAAAGAATTTTCTTAGAAAATGTTTTATTGGGAATTGTAATTAATTGTGTTTGATTGATATAATTTTTCATGGAAAATGTTGAAAGTTTGGTGTCCATTTGGCTTCGTTTTTTATGAAATTTGTCCATTAAAGTGATAATTTTTTCTACCATTGGGTCTAAAATGTGTTCCAATTGTGAAAAAAAAAATTTATCATACCGAATATTCTTCGTTTGACTTTGTTTTGCATGGAAATTGTCAATAAAAGTGAAATTTTTTTTTACCATTGTATCTAAAAGTTGTTCCCATTGCAAAAAACAAAAAAAAAAAGGTGGAAAATGTTTTCCCACCTACTAGGTGAAAAAACATTTTCCACCATTTGTTCATCAAATGGTTGTACCTAGAAAAATGGAGGAAAATATTTTCCGTGAAAAATTTCGCATATCAAACAGTCAAAAAAGTGAAAGTAGGAAAATATTTTCCTACTTCCATGGAAAACTACGCGAATCAAACGGACCCTTTCTTCTACTAACAAAATTGACTTGCGGCTCGTTGAACATAGCTTTTGTTTCTTTTTTACTTTCTGTAGGAGAGTTTTTAGAGAAATTTTCTTAATTTTTGTCTGAAAATTAATTTTTAAAAGTATTTTATATTTCGAAAGTGCTTTTGAAGAAAATCATAATGAACCAATTTCCTCTAAAAACTCTTCTAATTTGAAAAAATGCTTATATAAAATTAGTCAAACGATTCCAAAAGCAACTTTTCAGTTTCAAATCTCATTTTGTCTTATTAAAAGCAATGTGAAACGGACATGGACAAGATTAGCATTAACAAGAAATTATAATTAATTTTTCTTCTTTTTAGAGTAAAAGTTAGTATAACGATATTAATTATTTCGATGTATGCATAAAGAATATTGAATTATTGGATATTAAATATAGAGTTTCTTGATATGATAGAGCATGTTGTATTATACTATAAAAAAATGCTAAATGTATGCTTCAAGTGTATATCAAACATGACATTTGATGTGTTGTTAAAAAATGATTGAAGAGAAAATTGTTTAATGTTTTTAACTGTCCAATGATGTGTTGTCACGTGACAAAGTTGAGTTATATCCACAATAATGAAAAGTTGAGTAACATAAGTCGTGCCTAAAGTTTCAAACTTTTCGTCCACAAGAGATGTATAATCTCAGCAACTATGTCAAAAGAAAAGAAGAAAATGTACCAAAACAAGTTGATGAACCAGATGGGACTAAAATGTACACTTTCCAAAAGTTGAGACTCAAAACCATACCACGTAGAAAGTTTGAAAACCCAACCCTAATTTACCCAATATTCCATTTAATTTTATCCAAACAAGGATAAAACTTGATTTTCGTTATTTGTAATTCTTTTATGAGTAAAAATTAGAAATCTAATGACATTTGGTATCGAATATACTGTCCATTTATTTACCAAACACAGAACTCTTCTCTATAAGTGTTCAACTTGTACGCATTAATCCTTTGATAAAAGCTAAACCAGAGCACAAACTCATCACAAAATTGTACAAAGAATCATACAACTTATATGACAATCCATTATACCTCAAAAAGGAAATTAAACTGTGATAGTATAAAAAAACATAAACATAATTGGATCCAAAGCAAATCAATTTAACTGTATTGATAACAAGCAAGAAAGATTTAACTTGGTTCTGCAACTTCTTGATCTCTGTGTGTGGTCTTTGCACGGTTCCGATTTGTACTTGTTTAAATTCCATCGAGTAGCTTTCCGTACTATACACCCTCCCGCGTGCCAGGAATGTATACCACTCCAAAATTCACAGTAGGGGGGAATGAGTGAGGAGGATGCGCCTAATAATTCACCCTCTCGTCTTTAAAGTTCAAGCTCTCTATACCTTTGAGGGTAGAGTCAAAATTCTTTATATTAGAGGTGGCACGTTTGTGATCTGATGATAAGGCTGGCGAGCTTCTTTGAGCAGCACTGGATATTTTGCGGGGTCCTCCTGGGAGTGAGTCTTTCTGTGAAGGGTCATAATCATTCCCTGTGAGCACTGGATCACGGCTACTGGATACAGCAGGTCGCCTTGAAGATCCACTTGACCAGAAGATATTAGAACTCGGTAACTGCACAAAGCATTACCAGAGGTGGTTAAAATACTGTAACTGCACAAAGCATTACTAGAGGAAGTACAAAATGGGAAACAAAAGGGACTGCTATATATAACTGTGACATCAGTAGTAGTTACAATACTGCATACACAACTGTGCATAAAAAGGGACTTCTATAATATTTAGCCTCTCCAGGCAAAATTTCACATATTACCACCACGATACTAAACAGCAAAGAGCACGCCGGGGGGGGGGGGGGGGGGGGGGGGGGGGGGGGGGGGGGGGGGGGGGGGGTGGATTA